ATTCTTAATTCATGTCATCAGAGTTTTTTTATTTCAAACTTTTTGTTTCTTGTTTCACACCAAAATTTTAACATATTTGCGTGAATCACATATGGATCTAAATAGAAAAAATAATTCTCTTTCTCTTGACTATAATATCAACCCCTATCTCTTTACTTTTAATTCATGTTTTCCATTTTTTCTGAAAATATTGTTGTTTTCAATACATTTTTATATTTTCTCAACTCAAATGTCACATTTAAAAAATGGGAGAATTTTTGTTTGGGTTTCCCCACTTTTGTTTCTCGTTTTGTGCGCTAATTAGAACAAAGGGGAAAGAAATGCACATTGCATTATGTAGACAACAAAATTTACATCCTTCTGCATATATAAAAACTAGAATTGTGGTTACTTTTCATTCATCATTTTCAATTTTACTGAAAAAGTTTGAAAAATTTAAAAATTTTTTCATGCTGTCAAAATTAATTTATTTTCGATAAATTCTCTCAATTGTTAGAGATGGGACAAAATTCTTGGTGATTCAGAGAGTGATTCGAATTGAACAACGTACAAAAGTCGGTGTTCGCTCAGACAATTTTGTATGGGGAACTAAGTAATTACTTCATAATCTAGGTTCGAACTACGAATGAGAGAGCGAACAACGCTCGTCTGTACATGGCATAAGATTCATTGAAATACATGTATTTAACTTTTGAGGTGAATAAATTCGTACGCATACGCATGAATTTAGGTACGACCCTTAAGAACTAAATATTACAGTATTTTTTCGGTTAATTGCACATGTAAATTTGCACAAATATTTGTTCAATTAACCGAGGAACCAATTATCCGAACCCGCTTAATTGAATAGTTTGTTCAATTACAGTAATCACGTATAATTGGAACTACTAATGATTTAAATAAATCCAATGTCAAATACAAATTACGCTTCCTCGCAGTTTTTCCTTAAGGCGGGATCACATGATTGCCGCAATGCGCCAATTATTGGTGCATTTTATATGCCAATCGTGTGATTGCACAATTTATTGTCCAATGCGACAATCAAAAATAAATTGTGCTGATTTGCGGCAATCAAATACAACTCTGGTACGACAATCGTGTGAACTGTTAATAGACAACCTTGCGCAAATTTAAAGTTGAAAAATGCGTCAATATTTATTGTTTTCTAGTGCGTCAATCAAAGAAGACAAGTCAATAACCTGATTTTTTTTAAATAATATTTTTTCTTGTGTTTGTACCGTCAACATTTCTTTGTCGTAAGTAAAGTTAATTTAAATTGTTGTATTTGCTATAATTATGTTCATATTATGTATTTGCAGCTTTAATATGGAATTCGGTGATTGCATTGTATACGAAAATTCAGCTGAGCTTGATTTTTTATGTGAAACATAAACACCTGTGCCGAAATCCAAGTGTAATTTGTTCCTGAATGAAACACACATTGCGTGGATGGTATCTACATACATATCAAAAGAAATAATTTCATAAATATGTGTGTATTTAATTTTTCATCAAAAAAAAATAGCATCACAAACAATTGGTACGAAAAGTGATACAATTACAAATTATTATTGTCACAGCTAAGCGTATTTGTAGGTGTTTTGTGTCTTGTTTTTTAATATATGGTGAAAAACAATTCGATAAACGTTTCGTCATCCATTAAAATTTTTAAACAAAAACTTTTGGTTTTCGATTTTTTTTGTTTTGTCATATGCAATCAGTGCTTCTTTTTGTGAGCCACTCTCTGATGTACTTCTATTTACTTTTTTTTTCTTTTCTTTCCTTTCATTTTTCTCAAAATGCACACACCATAATTATAGCTGCTGCAATTTTCTTTTTTTTTAAAGAACACAAAAAAACAAATTTTTAAATGCTTTAACATTTTTAATAAACAAACTTTGACACATAGCATGCTTCTGATATTTGCACAATCGTGTGACTGAAGTTGGACAATAATTGTCACTTGATGGTTTTGAGACAATATGCGGCAATCAAATTTATGAAAAGTTGGACAATCATGTGACCGCACAATTTATTTATTGTAGTAAAACTTTGGACAATAAAAATTGGTTTAAATTGGCGCATTGCGACAATCATGTGATCCCACCTTTAGCAATAAACATATGTTTTGAATTAATAGAGATGCCACCTAGTCTTTTTCACAAATTATGTCAAATATGTATTAAAAAATGGCATTATTATTAAACAATTAATCGGTGAAAAGTAAAAGGAAATTTATTTTTGATGGCATGAATTTTGAACCAATTAAGCGGGAAAATCAATCTTGGTCCAAAGGTCACAGATAAGGCTGAGTTTTTGTACTAAAAAGTACTAAATATGGTATCATTTGTATTTGGCGAACCAGTAGATATCTGAAATTTGGATTGAGGGTCACTGATGGCGTGTAGAATAGATGTAGCAAAGGACTTTTTGGAAATTCGAACTATAAGTATCGGAAAAGTAGTGAAATGTACTACATTTGGTACAATTTCGTAGCATTTGAATGGATTGAGCTAAAAACTTGAAATTTTGAATGCAAATTAATGTTGAGAATTAGGGTCGATATGAGGAGAGTGTGTACTCATGTGGAAAGTGTGTACTCATGTGTACGAAATGTACTATATTTGGTGCAAATTTGATTTGAAGGTACAAATCGAGCTGGAATTTGTTTGGAAATTTGTCACTTATGTGTACGAAAAGTACTAAATCGTACTATAATCGGTACAGTTCGGATTTGGGTGATCGTATAAAGCGGGAACAATGAAATTTGGAGTCAAGATCACTGTAGGGGTGTTGGAATGGGGTCAGGATTCAGTATACGAAAATAATACTTATGGGTACTAAATGGTACTAAATTTGGTACAATTTGAATTTTAGGTGAACCAATAGAGCTAGAATCATGAAATTTGGAGCCAGGATCACTGTTGAGGTGTAAGATTGAGATATGAAATTTGTCACTTATGTGTACGAAAAGTACTAAATCGTACTATAATCGGTACAGTTTGGATTTGGGTGATCCTATAAAGCGGGAACAATGAAATTTGGAGTCAAGATCACTGTAGGGGTGTTGGAATGGGGTCAGGATTCAGTATACGAAAATAATACTTATGGGTACTAAATGGTACTAAATTTGGTACAATTTGAATTTTAGGTGAACCAATAGAGCTAGAATCATGAAATTTGGAGCCAGGATCACTGTTGAGGTGTAAGATTGAGATATGATTTAGGATCACTGTGGAGGTGTAGGATTGGGGTATGTAGGAGGGTTTGGAAATTGGTACTACTATGTACTAAATTTAGTACGATTTGATTTATTGGGTGAACCGAAAGAGTTGGAATCTTGAACTTTTGATTTATGAGCACTGTGAAGGAGTAGGATTGGGGTATGTAGGAAGATTTGGAAATTGGTACTACTATGTACTAAATTTAGTACAACTTGAATTGTGGGTGAACCGATAGAGTTGGAACTGTGTACTAAATTTGGTACAATTTTAATTGTGAGTGAAACTATATAGTTGGAATCCTGAAACTTGGATTTAGGATCACTATGGGGGTGTAGGTTTGTGGTAAGAAGGGGGTTTTAGAAATTCGTACTACTGTGTACTAAATTTGGTACAATTTAAATTGTGGGTGAACCGATAGAGTTGGAATCCTGAAACTTGAATTTAGGATCAGTGTGGGGGGTATGATTGGGCTATGTAGAATGTTTTGGAAATTGGTACTACTGTGTACTAAATTTGGCACAATTTGAATTGTGAGTGAACTGATAGAGTTTGAATCCTGAAAATGGATTTAGGATCACTGTGGGGGTGTTGGTTTGGGTTAAGTTGGAAGTTTTTGAAATTCGTACTACTGTGTACTAAATTTGGTACAATTTGTATTGTGGGTGAACCGATAGAGTTTGAATCCTGAAACTTCGATTTAGGATCATTGTGGGGGTGTAGGATTGGGGTATGTAGGGAGTTTTGGAAATTTGAACTAATGTGTACCAAATTTGGTACAATTTGAATTGTGGGTGAACCGGTAAAGTTTGAATCCTGAAACTTAAATTTAGGATCACTGTGGGGTGTTGGTTTGGGTTAAGCAGGAAATTTTGGAAATTCTTAGTGATCACTGTGGGGGGGGGTGTAGGATTGGGGTATGTAGGAAGTTTTGGAAATTGGTACAACTATGTACTAAATTTGGTAGAATTTGAATTGTGGGTGAACCAATAGCGGGTGGGTGAATTTTGGCACTGCTCTGTACAAAATTTGGTATAATTTGAATTATGGATGGACCGATAGAATTGGAATCCTGAAACTTATATTTTGGAAATTCATACTACTGTGTACTAAACTTACTAACTTGGATTTGAGTGAATCTTTAGAGCTCGAACCATTAAAATTGATACTAAATGGTACTCAAATTTAATTTATGGTCGATATTAATGTGTGGATTGTTTTTTCAGACATATGCAGTTTTATCTAAAAATAAAATAATATGTTAATTCATTATTAAATATTTCTTACATTCGCTAACGAAGTTGCGGGCATATGGTAATAATAAATAAAAATACAATTTTTTGTTGGTACGTTACTGTAAAACCGTACGTTTTGTGGTTTTACAAAATATTAAATGTCACATCTCTATTTCCACTGAGAGGCAATAAAATGCTCGACCGGCCTTTGTCGCAATGTGTAAACAACCGCTTATAGTCGATTTAGAAAACCTTGTCTAAAGGCGCTTACAGGCAATGGTTCTGCTACCTCATTCAATATTGTTCAGTGAGTTCATCATTATCGGCCATTTTGTCTTCTCCTCCCATTCGTTAGCAGGTGGAACGTTTTTCAATTTTTTTTCAGTCCAGAACAAAATCACGTTTGTTGCACTAATTTTTAATGAGTAAATTGGAAAATTGGTGGTAGAAAGAAATATTTATAAAATCTAGCAAGAAGGTTGTGTTCATCGAACAGTGTATAGAATATTATTCAAATTTGGACTCTTCTGTAGGTCTGGACATTAAAGATGGCTGAGGAATTTGATGTGGAAGCCATGCTGGAAGCGCCGTACGTGAAAAACGTAAGTCTAAGGGATATTTTATAAGCCAAAAGGGTTCTCTTTCAAACATTTCTTCTACGTTGTATTTTTTTTTTTTGTTATATATGGTGGGGTTTAATATGTATTTATTTAGAGTCGATGATATCGCAATAACCGATTAGCACATAAAATAACATATTTATCATGAAAAAAAGGTTTAGTTTAAGAAATATTTGATATCGTTCTTCTCACAATCATTGTGGTCGAGATATCTGACGCTAGTCACTGTACAGTGACGTCGAATTCGATGTTCGAATTTTATGGTATTAAAATATTTATGGAAATGATTCCCATCACCCAAATAAGTGTAGTTATTGTATTTTTGGCTTGCGGATACATATAGCTTTAATATTGCCGTAGGTCTGTTTGTGTAACAATACATGTCTCTTTACCCGTGTTCGAAAATTTTAAAGTAATTAGGATGTATGGGTACAACACTGTGAGGTATCGCGCCGGTACACAAACACTGAAAAATATTTTAGTGTTGTTGTACCAGTGTTGCGTTCCTCATGCTGGTACACTAAAGGCGTTGGGTATCGCAGTTTGAGCTAAAAATCCTAATGTTGCGCTATGTGGGAACAAGTCAAGTTTAGAGGCCCCACTGGGATCGGTATGAAATCTGAAAGGTATACGCATTTTACGTGGGGGAAATGTATACTTTCCGATATAGGGTAAGTGTACCGTTTCACCATCCCGAGTGCATTTTTCCACTATATTGTGTTTCGGTTCATCTGTTGATGCAATAAAAATTTGTTAAATTAATTCGTATTAAAGTAGATAAAAATGATAATCAGGTAAAATAGTGCCCTTGTGCCAATATTCGATACTTTCTTCCAATTGTCGGCCTGTCATGTCCCAATAGCCGACATTTCGCATTTTAGTTAAACAAAAATTATATATTTAATCGATTTTTCTGCTATTTTCCATTTTGAGTCAAAATGATAGTTTATCCTTTTTTAGGTTAAGCTCTTTATATGCATTTTGGAATTTATCTTTGAATTACAAGTTAAATAAATTTGAATTGAAATTGAAAACGTGCTTAATTCATTAATATGCCGACTATAGGAAAACCTTAAAAATGTTTGTTCCCAAGGGCGGCATCGATAAAAACATCATAATTACAAAAAAATGGTAATCATTTTAAAATGATATTTGGTATCATTTTTAAACTTATGGAGAGTACTTTAAATCTCGAAAAGCAGTTCTGCGTAAAAACCTATATAATATAAACAATTATATTAAATTTTGACGAAATGCTATTGTTCATCTGCGACAGCGTGGAGTGTATTGGAAAAAGTATTTCATTGGTCTATCGCGTAGACGGATCACTGTGATCAGCTGCTTACTGTAAAAATTTCAATTGTTGACAAAATGTATATAGTGCTCCGGCTGCTGTACTTATCTTTTCTTAGTGTACCAACTACGGTTTGCGATTTCCCGTCGTCAGTCACTTATTTCTTTTTGTAATATCAGTGAAATTGAATGGTCGATGGACGTTTGTTGATCTTACAATGTTTTCAAGATAACATCAACAATACTTTAAATGTATGGCATAATTCCAGCAAAATAACCCTTCAAAAGGAAATTCAGAATAAAGTTTCTCGTGACATTCGCCATATCCGGAACAGTTGCTACAACGTGGGTTTCAAAATATAATTCCATCAGTTTTTCTTTAAGGGGACCCCCCCCCCATTCTCGGGGTCAAAAATTTTGTTGATATAATTCGAATCTACACTAATTAAAGAATGTCCCTACAAAATTTCAAATGAAAATCTCAAGAACTCTTGAAGATATAGCCGATTTATTGTGTCAGCATCAAGTGACGGCTGAAGGGCTTCACAAACTTTAAACTCGTTTTTCTCTAAACATTTTTTTGCGAATGGCGGGCACGATTACTCAAAAACTAATAACCCAATCGATTTCAAATTTTTACACGTTTCTCTGTGAGTGTATAGCTATCGTATGAACTAGGATAAAGCCAATTGGTGAAAATCTTCCTTATTTTTTGACTTGGGCTTTGGTAAAAAATCGCCGATTTTCAAAAATATTTTTTCAAATGTCCAACATTTTTTTAATTTTAGAGCGAAGTCAATAATCCTAGTTCATACGAGAGCCAGACATGTACTCTTTCTAACACTGTTGGAATTTTCGCATTCCGATGTTCCAGTGAGGAGTTATCATGCCCGCCATCAAAAATAAGGACTTTTCTTTAATTACAAAAAACAATAACAAAATTTTTTTGTAAATTATTTTTCTTCTATTTTAAATCTTCAATTATATATGTGTAAAGTTACAAACCGTAACAAGCATTGGTATTGATTTATCAGCCCATTGAAAATCTTGAAAAATTAAAATCGAGAATGGGTGGGGTTCCCTTAATCATTTTCCGAATTTCGAACCTGTCTATTATATAAGTCGGGTTTAAAATAAGCACTTCCACTTATACACACATTAAAATCTCCCCTTGTAGTTGTTGTTATCGATAACAAACAATACGACGGATGGATCAACTGAGACATTCTGTTTATGTCTTAAGCATTGAAATTATTAATTCCGTATTAATATTTATTTAGAAATACAATTATTCGTTTTCGCGGGAAATACTATCGGGAAATCCCGGGAATATCGATGTCAAAAAGTCGGGAAATCCCGGAAGTATCCGGGACGGGAATTCCCGACCCCAAACCCTAGTACCAACACATGGAACACTAGGATTGTCGTTGTGCTCTGGTTGAGAAGCACTACAATATTTTTTTATCTTTCAACTCATTAATGCTTTTTTAATATTTTTTAAAGTTCATGAAAGAGAATAAATTTAGAGAGCAGCTTTGACTTGTATAAAAATTGGCTGTGAAAAATGTACTCACTAAATTATAGAATAAGGAAATGATTATAAAATAAGGAAATGATTACCAATTATATAAATATTGGCCTTTAAAAATGTACGCAGTAAATTATGAAATAAGGACATGATTACCAATGCATGCATTTGCTTGATAAAATAGAAGTCTAGAAGTCTAATGAAGAAAATTGTTGATTTACTTACATTGAATTTTGTAATAATTTTTTATAAATTGTTAATATAATTAAACAAAATGCATTGTTTATTGATAACAGAGGAGACGACCTTTACTTAAAGTATAATTTTGGGTCATAACTATGTAGTTAAATTGTAATTCACCTTTGTTACGGTTGGTGCAGTCATGTCGAAAATGGTGCACAGTCGTATTTATACGACAAATCGGTGTTATGAAAGTCCTTACAATACATCAAATTATTCTTCAAAGATTCTGCTGACGACAGCATACAAAAAACTATCAAATATTTTTTAATTTAACAATATTTACTGAATAATTGTTACAATAATATTTGTTTTATTGAATTTCTCAGTATTCATAAGAATTTAACATATCATGTCAAAAGTTTGGTCGGACGAACATGTCGTTTCAAATGTCTTGAGAATACCTCGTAAGTAATAATTAGCCAAAATCTCTTAGGATGGGGTGTGAAGATGTGTATTTTTCGATGTTATATACATCATCTTTCATCCTCATGACTTTCACTAAAGCGGAGTGATTTCCAAGGAAATTACAATATTTGTCACCAAAAGTAATTTCGGATATCAGATATATCACATTTAAGCGACAACAGTAAAACGGAGTCGACTTTATAGTTGCATTCCTCCTTTTTAGATTCACCAGAGGTAATCCTATTTCTATTCAGGTATTGTTGGTATAATTACTTGTATGTTGTGAAAGATGAAATAGGCAATGTTTTAGTGGTTTCTAAAGAACATTATAACTACAAAAATATTGTGTCCAATTGATTTCTAGGCCCGAATACGAACAATATGTATATGGATGTTTTTGAATAATTTAGGAACAATATGCTCTTTGTACATATCGTTCCATTAAAACTAATACGATATAAATGTTAATTCTGTGCATTTACGATATCAATGTCTGTAAAAATATCTCAACTAACAAACGTTTTTTGGAGTTTTTATTGCAATTACAAATAAATGATTAAGAATTCATAATTGTTGGGAAACTCATAATTTCATTCATGTAATTCATGTCTACAGTTATTCAAACCTGTAGTACTTAGTTCATCAAATTTGTAAAGCAAATGCTTAAATTCGCGGAGTAGAAAAAAAGTTTCGTTGATTTGAACTGTGAAGAATCGAATATGTTATGTCTACCATAAAAGAAATTATTGGAAGACAAATATGAAGGAGAAAGACGAATCCAGAATATAGTAATCATACAATATTTTACATAACATTTGCAATTACTTGATAATAATGTTATTGTCAACGAAGATATGGTAGAATTGGTTTCTAAATGTTGCCTTAACATCGTTGCATTTGAATTAGATTTGGTAAATTTGAAGATAATACTCATTATTTAGGCCTTCAAAATTATAATCTAAATTTAGATGACGCACACATATTATTTTTGTGGAAAATTGAAACAGGAAAAGTTTAGTCCATGGCATTGGATATATAAAGTGCAGTACATTACCTTTGGATGCTATCACAGAATAATTAATAAGAATTATAATTATTTTTTTTTATTACAATCTGATCCTGTTAAATTATTAAACATAAATCATTTGCATAAATCAAAAATCGTGATGATTATATCATACATATTCTAATTGAGAAGCTGTAGAAATACCACTGTCCCATATAAAGTGTAAGTAAATTGACAACTTAAAACTCATTTTCTGCAAAATCGATTTTTTTGATTTATGCCGGTCTTGGAGAAAATGAGCTTTATGTTTAGACCTGATAATGGACGACACATCAAAGAAATAAAAACTAAAAATTAAATTTTTTTGTCAAGTTATGCGCTTTGCAGTCGCTTTGTATTCGAATTGTACCAAAGGTACCTTCTGAAATATTTTTGATTTTTATTAAAATAAGCCTAAAGGACAATTTAAAATGACTTTTTCGTTTATATTGCGTTCGCTTTTTTTCGGAAAAAAATGTACAGTGTCTCACGAATGAAAGGATTTAGCGAAGACAAATTTTGTGCATATCCTATTTAGCGAGCGCAAAAGTCTGACTAAAAACACGATTTTTAAACATTTCGATTTTTGCATTTTACTAAAAAGTCGACTTTTCGATCTTTCGACTTTTCCAATCTGTTTAAAAATCAATTTTCGACTTTAAACGACTAAAGCATGGTATAATAATAAAAGGTAACAGCAAGTGTTGTTGTACAAAAAACGATACAACAACCACATGGAAATTTGTTGTTATAAGTTCTACTAGTGTCAACTCATTTGACAGAAAAATGTAAACAAACAAACAAATTATCATCAAATTATTTTTATTTTGAAAATGGAATATTTTCGAATCCTCAAAATAAAAATTGAAAAACATGAATGAAAATCTATCAAATTTATATTTCTATCGCTTCCACATCTTTCCTTTAATTGAGCCATTGCCATATATATGTGTAACACATATGACAATGCTGGGAATAGCGAGTTATTCCTTCAAGAAAGATTTGCTTCCTCAAACTTTCCCAGCAGGCAGATTGAGTAAATTGAATACGGGAGCACATTAATAAAGAACAATTTCAAATTGTATGCGTTCCCAATTTTCCTGTTGGGTGATTTTTTAAAAACATAATTTGTCAAATTCATATTGACACTAGTATTACGTTGGAATCAAATCAGCTGGAATTTGCTGTTACCTTTTATAATTGTACCATGCGACTAAAGCAAAATCGAATTAAAATTTATTACGAAAATCGAAAGTCGATCTTGAAAAGTCGACTTTGCGTTATCATAAAAGATCAAAAGTCGACTTCAACTTTTAGACTTTTCAAAAAAAAAAAAATCGGTTAATCGATTAGTCAATTTATTTATCCCTAATTTAACATAGTTGCATTAAAACTGTGCACAGAAAATAGATCTATGGTCACGGAAAAAAATTCGGGGCTCAAAGGGTTAATACTAATGTATGGAACTATACAGCAAACAATAAGATTTTCATAATATATTACATACATATTTGTATAAACTCTCAAATAAATAAAATAAATGTAACTACGTATAAAGGTTATGTTTTTGTATTAAACATTATAAAGCCGCTCTATACTTGCTTTGTTTGAATTAATTTTTACAAAAAAAGGTCAAATCACGAATCCGTGTTGTGCAACTTCTATAAAAGTAAAGAATGCTAAATAACGGTGTTTTCTAAGAGTAAAGTGAAAGCCAGTAACAATCTCAATACTACACTGCAAAGAAAATCAACACAACAACCAACCAAAAGTTATCGTTCTTTGTTATGGGATCAGCTGACGTTACTTAGCTGCGACGGCATAAGACTAGTCTCCGTGGGCGGTATTCTCTCTGTGTTCACTTGTAGATTTTGCAAATGATTTTCCATAATGTTAGTGAATAAAACTTGCAACATCACTCATCGTAAACTGTGATAGTACCTCCTAGGCGGGAGAGATTAGAGATACGACATTACATTACGGTAAAAATTACTGGAGCATACACTATGATGTGATCAGTCATCTTTGCATTTATTAAACCTGAGGTCCTATGATCCTTATTTCCTGGATTCGAGAATAACTTAACCGTAGAACACTATTTCCTTGTACCGGTATAAATGCTGTAACATATTTGTAATTTTGTTGTCGGTTTCTGATCTGGGAGTGGAAATGGGAAAATTCGTTATGGGTCAAGTTTAGAGTTATTGTGTGATAAACAACGTATGTATTTGCAGCTAGTGCTAGTTGTTCTCTCTCTCTCGCCATGGCATGTCTCACATACAATTGTTAAAACCCAATTCGCATCATATATTCATTCATTTCATTCAGCTGTGTTCTTTTCTCGTCCAAAGGTATTTATTTTTATTATACACACTCTATTATTACACACTACTATTTCTAATTTAATCGAGAACGGCTTTCCTAAGCACATCAAGAGGTATATATCAGTTTTTTATAAGGTTATTTTTGAATTTAGGTATCCCCGAAAATTGTCAATTTTCAAGCAAAAATTATTATTTTTCCATTAGTCGCTTCGCTGGGATATTTATGTGCATCACTTTGTTTTGAATGTGATAATCCCCTTTGATAATTTTATGCGTTCAAATGTTGGATCTATTTTTATGAACATTTAACATTGAAATACGTTAAAATAGAATAATTTTCAAGGGTGAAATGTCTTTGCAGAAAACCTTTATACTCAATTTGTTGCTAGAGATTGATTCATTTTGGTCATTCTTAAATATGTAGAGCTGGAGACCATTTGGTAAGTTTTGAATGTGCCAACAAAAAAATCGACTAATATTTTTAAAAATACATTGTATCAAAGAAATTTATTATTCGATGAATATTAATTTTTATGATACTTAAATCGCTATAATATAATTATCTATTGAACAATCAAACTGAACCTGGACTAAATTTTCAGATGATTGCACATACATACACATTTGGGTCTGGGCAGCACATGTCATATGCAGGAGTTAAAGGCAAACCTATTCACATAAATTACTGCTACCCCAATATGACTATACCAATCAACTATTCGTCAACAGATTGTTTGTATGAAACTAAAAGTAAAGAGTAATAATGCATATAAATGTACAAATGTGAAATATCGCCAAAATTGTGGCGACCCACCGACATACTAATGCTATTATATTCATATAGGTAGATACGTAGATCCATTGAAGGAACCATTCAACAAAGTCAATAAAAATGAAATACCATCGAGAACGGTGCAAAGTTGTTCAAAAGTTACTAAGATTGGGCAATTAAGCACTATTACTGATTTTGTAATTAAGACAATAAAATGAATTATTAGAAATAAACAAATTAACACAGAGATATCTAATTAATTTGATTTACTTTCTCTTGTTTAACCAACTTTTGTTATTACAATCATCAACCACCACAAAAATATCACAAAATTATTACTTCCATTTACAATGTGTGGCGGCGGTAAATGTTTCTCCCAAATTGTAACTTCTTGCGATAACGTAATAGATATCTAACGCTGGCAGTGGCTCGAGGGAAGACGAAGCAAACAGCAGGGGTGCTGGACGAGATGAGTCTGAAGACAAACGAAAAAGCAGAAAATGTTCGTCTCCTCATAATGGTAGAAAAAATACATCTAGGTGAGTATATATTTTTAAAATCCATGTATATTTTACTAATTTATTTATATACAGTATCAAAGAAATATAAACAAATTATATTTAATTTGTTAAAATTACCTTTTAAAGCGATAAATAAAACATTAACAAAAAATTAATTTTATACTAAAAAAACATTACTTAAAAATATGTTTATACTAGAAGAGCTCCCTCAGTATTGAGTGGATCTATATTTATTTTGAATCACTGCCCATATAATTCACTAGGTTTTCACACACTTCCGGTGGTACTGAATACCACTCTTCCTTGATCTTCTCCCTCAGATATTGTTTTATTATGTGACCGAAAGTTACGAAGGATTTTTAATGGGGTTTGGATCGTTAGACTGACTGGCCAATCCATTGAACTATATGTAATTTGCTCAGTTTTTGAAGCAAACATTAATTTAAAAAATCGGCCTCTCCAGTAGATTTTCAATGGAATTACTATTACAATTTTGTATGTTTTTGGAGAGTGCGTTAATACAGACAGATTTAATATCCCTTTAAAACCTTTTTTTTTGTTCGTTCCCACGCCTCTTACACCTGCCCCTGCCGACCGAGGGGGCTATCTCCCTATACGCAGGGAGCACGTACACACCAACGACCGGACTAAGGCGGCTTAGTAGTGATTTAACAATACCTGCTACAGATAGATCATCAGCCGGCAATTAGTAATAATACAACAAATATAAATTAGAATTAGATACATTAAACAGACATTACATTAACAAAAGCTACAATAAAACATTTGACAACTGCTGCTCAAATTTCAGGGTCTACTGTTTCCAAGCCCAGTATAGAATTCTTGATAGCATGCAATGGTCTACTTAGGCATATTACATTACTTATGCTATTATATATTAAACATAAGGACCTCATTGGGTTGCTTAGTTCGTAATTAGTTCTCGCGATGGACAATTTCAACGGTTCAAGATTACGTGTTCTTCGAGAGGGAACACAAAAAATTATTTCTCCCGTAAGAAAAGGTGAATCAATCAGACCACATGTTTATTTAATAATAAATAATGCTCTTAACATGAAACGTCCTTTTTCTAGTGTTGGAAGATTAATTAACAATAAGCGACTTTTATAAGGTGGAAGAAATTCCGATGGGTTCCAAATTAGGCCACGCAAGGCAAAGTTTAAAAACTGAACTTGAACTGACCCAATTTTATCACAGTGACATTTATAAAACGGACTCCAAAGAATGCAACCACATTCTAGGACAATACTAACAAATAATCTTTTTGTGACATAAGGGTCATCAAACTCTTTAGACCAGCGTTTAATGAATCCTAATAAAGAATTGGCTTTATTAACACAAGAATCGATATGAAGATGAAACCTTAGTTTAGGATCTAAGATCAGAGAAAGAATCAACATTGTCCAGTTTGTATGACCCTATAAAGTAGTCGGATTGTATTGGATGTGATCTGAATAAGGAACATTTCTTACATTTTTTTTTAAATTAAGAGACATTCCATTTGCACTGCACCAGTTACAGAGTGAGTGTAAATCGTACTGCAAATAAACTGAATTACGTGTGTATGCGAAAACAGCTTGACATCATCTGCATACATTAGTATTTTGGAATAAAGAATGGAATTCGGAAGATCATTTAGATAAAGAAGAAACAATAACGGACTCAAATGACTTCCTTGCGGAACTCCAGAGGAAACAACAATATCTTTTGAAAAGGAATCACTGGACAAAATTTTTTGGGTACAATCCTCTAAATAGGATGAAATCCAGCTTAAAAGAATTGACGGGAACCCTATAACATCATTAAGTTTATGGAGCAATAGCTTATGAACTCTTGGAATTTACGAATTTAAAAAAGCAATTAGGATTATTCAATATGTTTAATCGTATCTGTGTTAAATGCTGAGAATAACATCTAGAATAATATCGGCTCCTCGCCAATGAATACTTTGCATAATTAAGACCAGTATTTGAATTTTTAAATTTTTGAAATAATCTACTTTGTATATTGTGTAACCGTTTAAGAGTCGGTGTAAACCAGGAAGGACTCTGATCATTCAATTTGTTTACAGTAGGAACATAATGATTTAGAGAAGTATTTAGTAGTTCGTAAAATCTTGATACACACGAATCGATGTCACCACTTAGATCCCATATAGTTGAAAACAAGAACGTAGTTGCACAATATTAGTTTTAGCAAAGTTACGTCTGTTAATTGAATTTTTTGCGGGCGTAGTATTAGAAGAATTATTCTTTTTTTTCGACGTTCCCACGCCTCTCATTCCCACCCCTGCCGACCGAGGGGCGACCTCCCCTTACGTAGGGATCGCGTACACACCATGATCCGAATCATGATGGGATGTGAGAGTGGAATAGAAAAACCAGCTACAGAATCTACTTCAAGTTTTACTACTCATTTAAAAATACAATAATATTAGATTTTATTTGTTCTACGCTCAAGCAAAAATCTACATTAGAGTATACAGAGTTAAAGTCAATACACATTTTACTAAGAGGATCTCCCATAGAGTAATTCGTGCGGTGGAAGTCTACATATAACAGTTGATAGTGTCTACTAGATCGGAAAGGAACATTTATTCTAATGGAAGAAATTAGGAAATCCGAAGGTATATTACCATTTAATATTTTTAGTACCATCATAGTATTCAACATAATACGTCTACTTTTCAATGTAGGCAAACGAATTAATTTTAACCTGCTAGTATAAGATGACAACACAAAACTACTATTCCAATGTAATCTACTCAGTGCAAAAAGTAAAAATTGTTTCTGCACGGATTCGATTTTATCGGGATATATTGCATATTGGGGATCCCATACAACAGAACCGTATTCTAAAATAGGTCTAGAAGAGACGTAAATAGTTGTTTCGTTATATATGGATCCGAGAATTCTTTGGCCCACCGTTTTATAAATCCTAAGACACCATAGGCTTTATTTACCATAGATATAACATGATTGTTAAAATTTAATTTTGGATCCATTAGAATACCAAGATCAACGAAAGAATCTACAGCTGATAAAACCGAACTATTAATATAGTAATGTCTTATCGAGAAAGAATTTCTAGAAAAACACATATGTTTACATTTATTTAAATTCAAGTCCATACAATTTAGGCTGCACCATTGAAATAGGCTATTTAAATCATGGTGGAGTAAATCAGCTTGCTTTTCAGAATGATGGGAAATGAACAACTTGACATCGTCTGCATACATTAACAATTTGGAATGCGATACAGAATTTGTACAAATCATTTACAAATTTCTTCAATTCTAAATTCACAGTGAGCGTAGGATGATAAATGTCTTCAGGAATTACATATGGAGAGCCTCTAGATTGAGATATTTAAGGTAGACGAAAATACTAAATCTAATAGTTTCTCTTTAACATTCAATACGTCATTTACCTGGTAAAGGCAGAGTTCAAAAATTTTATCACTTTTTTTTATTAATATGTAAAAGAGAGATAATAAACCGATGGTTATTACAGGCGACATTCTTCTCTAAACAACATTCTTTCATATGCCACTTTTATTTAGGTTAGGTTTGGGGATGTGCAGTCACTTATGTGGCTGCAGCACTCTGGGACCGTCAGGTCCATTGTGATCATCCACGAGAAGAAAAGAGATAAGGAGTGATCTATAGGGGAGAGAAGATTGGGGGAAATAAAGAGATATGTGAAGCTTACAAGAAAATTTAAGAAGGTAAGTTTGGAATAATGTCGATGGCTATGGAGATCGGACAGAAGATATATTACGTGTCGAGGTTGCACTTTTCCAACCACTTTAGGTTTCTAATTATGCTGTAGATTAGAGCAGGTTCAGTTGCTGAGAGGAAGCTAAGACTCGTTGGAAAATGAGACCTCACTAGTCTGTGCCGCCTGTAAACCAGGGCTGGACAGTGACACAGAAGATGCTCAATTGTCTCCGTCTCCTCCTCGTCAACACAGAGTCTACAGTAACCAATTGCATCATGATCCCATTTACTAGTTAGTAAAGATTTGATATAACGAGATTTGATGGCTTTAATAGCCGCTTGACTATCCACGAAAATAGTCACCGGTTCAACGACCTCTGCTGTTGACTGTTCATCCTAGCTTATTTCTGTTAACCACCTTGCCAATGAGATCAAAATCTAGAGTCACAGGAGGCTGAGTGTCACCACGTTCATGGTATCCATATCTTTGCAACCTGGGAAATGAGTCTCAGCTAGGAGATTAAGAGTCTCAGAACCAGAGTCCGTCCACGCTTCATTCTGTTTCTTGATACTTTCGATGGACTTCGGATCCTTGGATAGTAATCTTCGAAACCTAGCAGCGTCGTTGACTCCTTCTATCGACGCACAGAAATTTATCCAAGACTTTTTCTTTGCAAGATTGATCACATTCTTGTATTTGTTGAAGCTAGCTCTATAGGAGTTCCAGTCAATATCGAGTTTTGATTTATGCGGCCTGTTGTACAGTTGTCTTGTCACTTTCCTGAGCTCACCAAGTTCCCTGTTCCACCACACTGGCTGAGATTTGTCCAGAGGGTATGTAAGCGGACAGGATTCCTTATGGCATCTGAGAAGAACGTCCGTTAGATTGTCCACGGCCCCATTAAGTTCCACAGCTGTTCCTAAGTTTGTATTAAGAGTCAGATGGGAGTTCGTTAGATCCGTGAATATCTCCCAGTTTGTTCTCCTTGGATTCCTATAAGGCTGTTGTTTACCTCCGTCAAAAGAGATCTCGAAGAAAATCTTCAAATGATCCAATTTGTGTGGTGTAAATATTGATTACAAGGAAGTGCACCATTGCTGCTACATATACAATGGGAAATCGGTTCTAGTTAAATTTAATTCTGTGCATACAAGGGACATGATAATGGCTAAATATTCTCGGCTTCCTTCCTTGTCCTTGTGTGATGTTGTGAACACTGATTGTAATTCACGTCTATACTTGAATGATCATCTAACTTCTCCGGCCGCGATTTTGGTC